GATCATACCAGTGTAGATGTCTGCATGCCTGATAAGGTGTTGACAATATTGATCGCAGAAAATTTTTCTCCTTCCCCATTTTTGTATTCCATTATGCACTACATGTTATTAATAATATTGAAATGGTTTGGGCCTTGGATAAAATCGTAAAAAAAAAAAAAAACCTCTGGAAAATGGCAGGTTATTTCTGACTACTTAGTTGATAGAACACTGGACCAGTGATACAGGTGTTCAGGGTTCGACTTCGAGTGAAGACACTTTAAGAAGGGTGCAATGTATTGGTTTGGACTGTGAATATTGGCCTGGGTTGCTCAGTGGGTAGAGCACCTAACTAATGATAGTCATGCAGGGGTCCAGGGTTTTATTCCAAGTCCAGAAATACATTTTCTCATTTAATGTTATAAAAATATAACCCTTTTGTCTCTTTAAGCTGTTTTTAAATATATATATTTTTGTCTGATACATAAAGAGAGCAGGCTTGAAACTTTTCTTGTCATCTGCCTCACCTTGCTTAAACTTAAATTACTGGTAGTTTGCATGATTATTTATCAAAAGCATAACAAAATACGGAATGTAAATATGACAACATCAAATTCTTCCTTTTCATTTCTTTTTACATTTAATACAGCATATTTTTATGTGCGATCAATTTGTTAATATTTTAAGTTACTCACATCTAGGGGAAATTCTGTTGGTGTGCACCATCTGCTCATGAAATATTACGGTCATTACCTGTAACTTTCGTATGTATGGTATAAACTAATTATTACCTTATTTATGTTGAACTTGATAGAAGTCTGATAAGGAGTTAAGGAGTGAACATAATGTACATTCTTTCATTATGTATGTCAAAGAGTTTTAAAAAAGCCATTTATAAAAATTGTCACATATTAATCCCATGGGTTAGAAAGTTAATGATCAAAGAATTTATGAAGTGATTGGTATTGCAGTCAAGAGAGCTAACTTTTGAATGCTTGAAATCCACTTGCTGGCCTACTTTGATATTTATAGACATTGCTCAGTCTTTGCTACTTGAGTCATATAAAGTCTCTCATCAATTCTTGTTATCAGAGGGTTGGAGTAAAATTGTTATCTCATATTGGTTCTTTATTATGCATGTTTTTATTGTGTCTAGCAGTGAGTCAGCGATAGGCTCTATATAAAGTATAGACTGTACCAGGCATAAATATTCATTATTCAATTAACAGAAAAGCTATTAGGTATGGTTGTATAAAAAGAAATTCATTATTGTTCATTGAAAAAAAAATCCTGTATTAACACACATATTTCTATGCCCACCCCCTCCTCCTTCCCCAATTGATCTTTTTCTCTCCTAGGATCATGAGGATGTGTCACGATATTAATTTGTAAACTAGGGATTTTTTCAGATATTGTTGATGACACTCTATATAAGTATTCATTGATCATTTCATAGTACTAGTGATCACACCAGGCTTTGTGATTTCTCAAGTTCATTGTCCAAGTGTGTTTGCACAATTAATATCTGTAATTAGGCATGTATCTTCTCATATCCTATTTAGAAATAAAATGTTATTAATCATTTAATGATACATGTATGGCAAAAAATAATGTCCTTCTGTTATATTTGTATATTTGTCAGCATTATAAAGTTGTTACTAAGGATGATTGACGTGTATATATGTTTCCTGATGTAAATAAATGATATAACTGGGAAGCTTACAAGGGCAAGGATCATTCATGATTTGGAACTTCCATATTCACTCAACAATAATTAACAAAAAGATAATTACTCATAGCAATATTCCCGGATCCAAAATATCCATGTGAGATTGCCTGATAAAACTGCTATGATATATATTAATATGTGCATATGTCACAGCTCTTTCAATTATCTACAAGTTCATCTAACTACAATATTGTATATCCAAGATATGTACAGGAAATAAAATTCGTTAGTTTGAAAGATTTCAGCAGGTGGATAAACCTTCTTTAAAATTGAATCACGTTTGTTATACAAAACACAAATTATTAATGCTGATCGAGTTCTGAGGATAGTATAGCCATATAAGGACACGATTACGAGTACAGATGGGTTTGTTTGAACAAGCAGCTCCTAAAACCAGATAACGGGTTAAGTAATTCACCTGTAATAGGTGACTTCTTCACCTGTGTAACAATCAGGTTATGCTTTGGTCAGGAGGAAATTTTTCGTTAAAATCAGGTAGTATCTTTTTACACACATTCGGCAAGATGTTTTTATCTGTGCTGTTAACAGTGTACATTTGAATGTTGTTTGCTTTGTAATTTAAAAAAGTATTGATAAATCATTTGCCATTATGTACAAATTATGTATTTACATGATCCTATTCAACATGTATCATGTTGTAGTTGTATGATCAGATACATATGAACTGTATGGTATAATTTCTTATAATGTGTAACAATAATCACTGCTTGTTATGTATCAATGAATAGACATTTCTCTGATATCTGTATACTAAGGTTAATATTAGGAACTGTGACCTAGCTGTATAGCTATAGTGATCGTGGTAATTATATGAATAATTCTGTGTTCTGTAGGAGGTAAAGGAACTCTGTATTTTAATAGGCTTGTTTAAAAGGGATTGAGTTATGTATATTCACATTCATAGAATTTTTCAGAATTGGAGTTGGTTTATATTAGAAAGGTATGGCTTTGGAAAGTTAAATTATTAAATGAATGTGAAAGACTTTAGCAGTATTTGATTTTTGGAGAATAAAATCATGCATGTATTTGCTTATATTAGTCATGCACTTCTTATTAACCATAATTGAAACTTGGGAGCAAATTTTATTTGGTCTAGCAGTTTGTTCATGTTCTTTGCCCCAACATTAGAAATTGGCTTGAACCAACTCAAATGAAGTTTATATTTTGTTGTATCTGGAGCTGATGGCCAAAGCTTAAGTTTGAGAGAAGGTCAAACATCAATGTTAAAGGTCAAGGTCAGAGGAACTGGCCTTGATATAGTCAAAATCAAACATCAAAGTTATGAGTCAAATATGTCTTCAGTAATTAGATTTCTTTTAGTATGACCTTATTGTATGAATTAAATTTTTTCTGGTATTTTTGTAGAGGTAACCTGGTGCATTTGTACTTAAGATGTCGGGGAAACCCCAGCTGATTGGCTACACGCCAACCTCTAATGAGGGGTCAGGTAAGGTCAAAGTGCAGACATGGACAGTACATATCATTTGATAAATTGATAGGTGCGTAAAAAGAAGCCATTAATTCTGAGTTTGTAACTATGATTTATAAGAAAAAAAAAGCTACTGGTAGAATATCACACTGAAAAAATATGAATTTGCTAGGAAACAAGTTTTACATGTAATTATAAAACCTTTGGGCATCAGTTAGATCCGATTTTGCTCAGAGTTAATACAATTTCTTAAGATGAATGACTGGGATTTGCAAACTATGGTTAAAGATTAATAGATGATTTACTTTAGGACACCTTGCATCTTTCCTAAAAATAAAAGAGCATTTTCCTGTTCAATATTTGGGGATTTGCAGGTGTGGTTAAATGAAAAGAGCTTCTTTTGCTGATTATGTTCAAAGTTAAGACAATTTTGGGACACCTTGCGTCTTTCCTAAAAATAGAAATCTCATAAATCCTAATCTGCAATAAAGAATAATTTCCTGCTTATTGTGCGGAAATTTGTGGGAGTGGTGAAATAAAAAGTGCATCGAGGGGTTATTATTTAGAATGATAAACTGGAGCTCTCGATATGCTCTGTTGACTTGCTGAAATTTCCCGTCCTTATATCAGAAGATTACTTGGGTCCTCCCGCTGTTATCCTAGCCTGTTATTTGATGCCTCTGTATAATTATTTGCTGTCACGGCCAGACTTTTATTCACAACTTTGATATTTTTATACCCAGGTAGATCGACTTCCTTTAAATTGTTTGGAAACTTATAGCTATCTTATTACAAAAGTGTTTATCTAGTACATGTAAAGCTAACTAAGAAATAAAAAAATAAAATAAAACTGGAATGTTAAGTTAAATTGAATTTGATTCGGGTGGTTGGGGTGGGGGGGAATTTGCATCTCTCTCTTATGTAGAAGTACCAATGCACTGCTTTAATGTCTGGTCTATAGAGCTTTCCTGAGACAAGAGTTTTTAATGATTTTATTTACCTCGATCCTGTAGATATTGAAGAATTTCAAATGGACGTTAACCTTACATGCAGGATTTTGTGTGCATTTGATAAACAGAAAGTTATTTCATGCTAGCTTCAGTGACAAAATCTAATTTAATTTCTCCCAGCAAGGGTTTTTACAAAAAAATTATGCCTCAGTGGCTATGCAGAAAATCTTTAAAATGTATCAATAAATCGGTATTTTAAATCAGTTGATGCATTGATACATAAATTTTTATCATAAACAGTTTGAGGTTATTAAACTCTAAATGGCAGTACAGGGGTTCCATGCAATGTCTTAAATCTATATGTTTATCTGTAAAATTTGAACAAATATAGAAGTTCTGGCTTTACGGACCGTGGATATCGGCCTGGATAGCTCAGTGGTTAGAGCACCTGACTAGTAATGCAGGGGTCCCAGGTTCAATTCCTGGTCCAGTCATATGTTTTCTTCATGCATTTCTCCTTTCCATACTACACAAAAAAGGGGGGATAAAAAAAGAGTATAAACATTCGCAGTTAGTATGTATATATTACCAGTAATATGAGTAATATAGATTTCTTTCTTTGTCTTGGATCAAGATGTCAATTGCGTCTGCTTATCTCTTTTTCATGTATAGAAATACTTACACTGCATGCAAAAAATTTATAAAGAATCCATCATTTAGCAACAAATTTTTAGCAGTAATGTGTGTACTAGCATTTAAGTCTGTCTATTTTTTCTTTCCACCCTGAATTTTCTATACTTACCTGCTCAGGTGTAAAAGAACAAGGTCAAATTTCAGGGTATATTGGACACAGACAACCAGATGTTCATTTTAAAACCTTGTTTACTCCGATCAAGTTCTAAATATATAGCCACCCCACGTGGGTATATTTACGTATACCTGTAATTATTCAGCATCAAGGAATCAAGATTCACGATAGTCTCTCACTGAAATTTGTGAAACCTTTGCCAGCTGTTTCTATAAGTTTAACTGTTTTGGTGTATGTGTACTTAAAACTATTCAAAGCCGTTTAAGTGATTGATGAAATCCGTGGGTATTTTGCATAATCATTCAGATTTTGCATACTTCTGGGAAATTTGAATCACTCGTACGTTAGTTGTGTTTAGGAATTGGAAATACATGGAGGCATTTTAAGAACAGGCAGCAATATGGAGAGTAAGTAGAAAAAATTTTTTTTCCAGAAAAACAACCATTGATGAGACGAACGTTAACAAAAAGGTATTAATTGATCTCTTTTAATATGAATTGAGGTCAGGCTCTCGTTATTATAAACAAAAAGCTGTCTTGTCTAAGGAAAGTGTGGTTTTGTTTATAAAGTACATAGATAAGATGAGGAGGGACTCTAAGGAAAGATTTGCTGTTTGTCTGCTGGAGGAGGTTGCTGAATATAATAATGTAAACAAAAGATAACGGATGTGACAGGCAATGTGTGCCTTCATTTTAATCAATAAAGATTGGCACTTTTCTCTCTGTACTCTTATAAGTATCAGGTTCCTGTTGAAAAGAATGGGAAGAAAATATTATCTTGCAACCCTTGTCAACATTATAGAATTCCCTCAAAGGGAGGTAAATGAACTCTGTCAAACTTTTGGGGTGCATGAATAACACAAAGGATTCTGAATTTGATCTGTCAAATTTCAGCTGCTGTGCATTGTCACTAATAACTGCTTGTCTTCAGGAAAAAAAAATTGGTTTCGCTCAAACATAAAAATTGTAAAAGCTACTAAAAAACTAATAGGTTTGCATGTATAGCTTCTCTATTTGACTCACTATCATTATGATTTTTTGTATGATTTTGTAGAATTTCATGAACCATTTCTACGAATCTACATGTAGATCTTTTATTTCAGTTTTCCTACAATGTATGTACATGTGTTTGTTGAATTCTAGCTGCTTGTGATGGTGTACATGTTGCATGCTTGGTGATTTTTCATGTTTCTTTTATTTGCATGGCTTAATGAAGGCAAAAACAGCATGGAAATGAATGGAAAAGGTGCTGGAAAAGGTAAGGAAGAAGTCACATACCATCCTTAACTATACCCTTAACCTAACACAGGGGTGGATCCATGAATTCATTCATCATATTTTTATTAAGATCGAGATTTGGTCCAATCCTCATTCGGACTCCTTTCCCTTCTCAAGAACTTTTCATGAAAACTATTGTTTTTGGTTCTCTCTCTTTTTCTTGCCCCCCCCCTCTCTCTCTCACTCTCTCTTGCTCTATCTTATCATACAATTTTTAAAAATATTTTTGCAGATGTACCGGGTAGGTAATGATAATCGCTACATGTACATGTATATTTTTTGAAAACATTATACATGTATTCTAAAACATTCAGTGATAAGAATTCTTAAAATTTTCAATGTGTATGTTAGTGTATTGGGGTGTAGTTGAAATTCCTAGACACACAGGTATGTATCTGGATAGGAATCAATACACTCACAGGAAATGGGTGCCTGCCATATCTCACATATATACGACAGGTATCTCCTTGCTAGGGTATGTGAAGAATGGTCAGGTGTAAAAAGGGGAAATGAAAAATTCTGTCAGAGGTTTGAATGTTTTTATTATAGAGATTTAATTCAATTAAAAGTTGACATTCTTTAAATTTCAAAAGGAAATCAGCTTTTAGGAGTTCTGCTGGCTCCGGGGTTTTACAATTTTGTATACCCTGCCTTTGAGAAAAAAAAAACTCTGTCTATAACTAAGGAACATAAATTCTTTTGGCTACCATTCTTTTTTTTAAATTAACAATTATTAACTATTTTTAATTTTAAGTTTTATGAATTAGAGTCCTATTTAGAATTATACCTTTTGAATATCACCTTTTACAAGCAAATAATACAGAATTCAGTCAGTGATTTTGTAAAAACATTATAAAACAGGAATTCTATACACTGATTGTGTAATGTGGTGCAATCTTACACCATGTGTCTACGAGGGCATTGTCCCGGTATTTAAACTCTAGGTCACAGTACTAGATATTGAACGCATTGAATGTATTTGAAGAATTCGGTCACATGACTAAATAAGGTAATGATTGTTTTCCTGTTCAGTTGCGATAACTGACAAGGAAAATAAGATAATGATAGAAGAAAATCTTTATTTATTTCACCTTTTAAAATAATTATTATAGGATTCAATTCATGCATGTGGTCTCTTTAAAAGATGAATTAAATGAAAAAAGATAAGGGTACCAGTTTAATACAATGCCTTTTTAAATGTTTTATAATTTATTAACTATAAGGACATATTCATTTTTATTACCCGGGGGGGGGGGGGGTACATAGGAAACAGCTTATTAGCATTTTAATTATTTTAAAAATACATTTTTAAATATAATTGCTAGATATTTATATTATAAGGAATCAATAATTAAATCATGAATCTCTAAGATAAGACTTTGTTCGTTGTCATTGTCCCTTAATTTATTTATAGGTATTAATAATATAAACTTGAAATTGATAAAATTATTTAGATTAAAAAGCTTAAATCCTGTTTATGAACAAGAATTGAAAAAGGTTCGATCAGTTTATGTGTGTAAATCCCCCAAAATAAATTATTATGCATTGTTGTGAAAGACTAAGATAATTCAAGTAGTGAATCTTGAAGAAATAAACAATAAATTATGACACTACATCAAAGAAATGTTAAAAAATGTTTAAGTTTCTTGAAATGTGTTAGAATTATATCATTGATGTTTTAATAAGGATATATAACTTGTATTGTAGATTCTGAGGGAGAGGGGGAGTTGGCCGTTAATGGTCGCCCGGCAACAGCGTCCACAGTGGACATGGACAAAGTGGAAATTAAAACGGGCAAAGATGACGAGAAAGAAAAAGAGAAGAAAGAACCCCAGAAAATGGTCGGCACTTGTGAAATCGTAAGTGTGGACTTCAATGTTCTACCTGATAGAATTCTACTTGGAAATTATAAACTATCGTGTAAGCAGAAATTTTAGGAAGGATTAATTTAGCATATTTAGAGTGTGATTTAAGATCATTTAAAGTCGTAATAATGCATGTTGTTCTTTTCTTACTAGTTTAAGTATGCGGACTGTTTGGACGTGTTACTGATGCTCCTGGGATCGTTCTGTGCCCTGTGTCATGGTGCCGCCCTGCCCTGTATGATCATCGTGTTCGGAAATATGATTGACACCTTCGTGGAGTCGGGAAAGCTCCAGTATTTCCTCCAAAGCCTGAATTCTACCTACTTACAATCCCAGGGACTCAGTGTAGAAGGTATCATCAAGGATCCCAAAATTCTGCAGTGAGTATATTGTACATATCTGAATGTTAAAGGGTTAGGGACTAAGTGTAGAAAGTATCATCAAGAATCCCAAAATTCTACAGGGAGTATATTGTACATGTCTGAATTTTCTGAGGCAAAAAGAAAATTTTGTGTTTGTTTTGTTTGTTTGTTTGTTTGTTTTGATGAAAATTCACACTACATGATTTTGAAGTCAAATTAATTACAATGGAATCTGCTTTTACAAACTTTTCATGACGTGATGTCTGTTAACTTTTTGATTCTGCTTTCATTGTCATAACTGATTGAACCACTGTATTTGATTTTAGGCCACATTTGCCGAACTTGACAACATATTACAATGTAACAGACTTCTCAATTTACAACAATTCCATACAATATGATTTGTTGGACACTATGACAGAATTCGCTGTTTATTACATAGGTAAGTAAGAAAAAACAACAGATAAATCTTGTGTTTATACATATTGAATTAAAAAAAATATACATATTTCATTAAATTGAAAGATAATTTAATAGTTATTCATACATTGTAGACAAAAGCTACGATGTAATTTTCATTTGTTGGAACCAACATGTTTTCTCTGCAGTGCCATACAGAGAAAACTAGTGGGTTCCAACATTGCATGATATTGGATAGGAAGGAAGGTACAAATGCACATATTCCTTATATATGGAATATTTTTAATTTAAGATGGGCACACATGAATATTGAAAAAAAAATTCTTATAAATTATGAAGTTTGGATAAAAAGATCAACTTTGTCTTGAAGTTTAATTTGGATTATTGACGATTCAAATTGATTTCTTTTGTGCAGCCATTGGTTGCGGTGTACTGGTGCTAGGATACGGACAGGTGGTAGGCTGGGTGACCGCTGCAGAGCGACAGTGCCACAGAATCCGAATCTCGTTCTTCCGCAATGTAATGCGACAGGAGATAGGCTGGTTTGACACTCATGATTCAGGGGAGCTCAGCACGAGACTCGCAGAGTAAGAATTGCTTGCAATACAGTACAACTTCTTTGTATTAAACACTGCTATCTAGAATACCATGTATATTTTGAAGTCTTTTGGATGTCCAAAATAGTTATTTATTAAGGGTCTTAACTATTAAATCTTGAATTCTTGGATATCTCAAAAGTTTTTTTTTTCAGTCCCCTTGAGTTAAAGGTAATGAGGTATGACTGTATGATAAAAAATTGTGCTAAATAAAGTAATTTTTATGCCCCCAGTTGGAAAAATCCCAGGGGTATATTGTTTTCACAAATGCATCTTGTTATGAGTTTTTTTTTGTCAGATGTTGTACACTGTAAGTATAGTACATTTTCATTACTTCTTCTTTTATCATCTTTCCTTCTCTCTCTTTTTTAGCGATATCAATAAAATCCACCTTGGAATCGGTGACAAGATGGGGACCTTTGTTCAGTGGATGGCTGGGTTCTTCGCAGGATTCACCATCGGATTTATCTACGGGTGGAAACTAACGCTGGTCATCCTGGCCATTACCCCACTGCTGGCTGGAGTAGCCACTCTGATGAACAAGGTAAGCCACAAAGATTCCTCACTGATGAATTGATTGATTGATATGCGTTTGAAATGTTGACTTTTGCGGTTACCAAAATTAAAATCCTAATTTTAAAATCTTTGAGAAAGTCAAGTTTCCATAGTTCTTCTTAGTTTCCATATTGAAATGCATGGTTAACGTGGTTAAGGTTGTAGATGTGTTTTGTTTGTCAGCACTTTTTGAAGCACTTTTAAGAAAAAAAAAAAAATAGAACACAGTCTAAATATTCTCAAAAAATAAACTTTCACTGACATATTTAGGATAAAATCTTTTTTTAACAAAAAGAGAGATTCGAAGCAGGTTTTAAAAACAGAAGTAAGAAAATCAAACTCTGTATATAATTGTAATTTGATGTAGTTGTCAAGGATTAATCTAGAGTATATTTACTACTGATATTCGGTATTTTTCCCCAAGAGAAAATTTCCCCTGATTATCCCATTTTCCCCTTGGCAAACTTTTGATGAGTAAAAAACTTCCCCGACAATGATAAAAAGCTCAAATGATTTTTTTCCTTCAAAGAAAGTGGAAATTTAAAGTAAAAATGTTTAGAAGATGTGAAATATGGTTTTACTTTCATATTTTATGCACTTTAAATGGTCATTAAAATGATTAAATTCAATTATGCTCCCCCAACCATGAAAAAGGCTGCTCAAAATATAGTGCGATGGAGAACTGTTGCCGAGGCCCTATGTTCCACCAGGAACGAAAACGAACCATGATGCCCCCCAACTAAGCTCACCCTGCACCCTCTGGGGATTTGGATTGGTCCCAAGAACCACAGCTGATTTCTCAATTTCTCTAGAAAGGATAATTTCCCCCAAATCCTAGATTAATCCCTGGTTGTTGGTGTGGCACTTAGTGTTAATTCTTGAACTGTGTTTATTCTGTTTGTTGATTTCAGCTGCTGTCCCTGAGCGCCAGTAAGGAGATGACTGCATACGCTAAGGCGGGCTCGGTCGCGGAGGAAGTCCTCGGAGCCATCAGAACGGTGGCCGCGTTTGGTGGACAGAACAAGGAGTGTGCCAGGTATATGTCCATACAGAAATAGCTTGGAAGTTATAGTTTGGCATTTTTTATAATTAAATTTTTCCTATCTTCCAAAATCAGGTTAAGTAGATGTAGAATTAAGAATGATTAAAAGTTCAATTTTTTGAGAATTTTAAAGCTTTTGAAGAAGCAGTGTTTGATTACAATAGGACAGTGCTAAACCAGCACCAGAGATGGTGGTATGCTAGAATATGTGTGTTAATATATCGGGGTATTTATAATTTTGTCACTTTGCATTCAAAGGGGATAATATACTGGAATCACATAAATCTTTAATGTAAAAGAAGGGAGACGGTACTGTCTTCAACTTTGTTGTGTAAAAAAAAGTTTTATTAGGAAAAAAAGTTACCTGTCTTTTACATGGAGTTCTTATTGAGTGTCTCTCTGTTGTACAGGTATGACAGCCATCTGGAGGAAGCTAAGAAGAACGGGGTCAAGAAGGGGATCACTGTGGGCTGGTCCATGGGTCTGGTTTATCTGGTGGTCTTCTGTGCCTATGGTCTCGGATTCTGGTACGGAGCCAAGCTAATCCGCGAGGATGATGATTACAAAGTCTCCAATGTCCTCATTGTAAGTTTACAGTATATTTTTGTCCTCTTGTAAGTTTACAGTATATTTTTGTCCTCTTGTAAGTTTACAGTATATTTTTGTCCTCTTTGTAAGTTTACATATTTTTGTCCTCTTGTAAGTTTACAGTATATTTTTGTCCTCTTGTAAGTTTACAGTAAAGGTTTGTCCTCATTGTAAGTTTACATATTGTCCTCTTGTATAAAGCAGAAATTTTTATTCTCCCCTAAATTAACATTTTCTTCCTCACTGTATGTTGACAATTTTGTCCTAACTATAGGTTGAAATATTTTTATCCTCATTGTAAGTTAGCCTATTTTTTTTCTCCTGTAAATTTACATTTATGTCCTCACTGTTAGGTTGTTTCATGATCTCAGGCCCAGACAACTTTGTAGATAAAGTTTTTTCATCAGGATATTTATTGAAATGTTAATCTTTATACTATACACATTTGTTTAACAGGTCTTCTTCAGTGTTCTGATTGGAGCATTTTCTCTCGGACACGCAGCTCCCAGCATGCAAAGTTTATCTGTGGCAAGGGGATCTGCATTCACTGTCTATGCCTTGATAGAACAGGTAGGACTTGTATAGAGCTGGGTGTAGCATTTCATTGCTAGAGATTTACCCTTTATTATCATGGCTTGATGAAGCAGTGAAAATGAGAGGAGTTCAATTATACTGGATTTGCCTTGCTTTAAGTATTTAAGAAGAAATTTTGTATTATCATCTACGTTTGTAGATACGATGACATTTAGTCAATACCATTATATCATGAGAGAAGTGATCTAGGAAACTAATACTGAATCATAAAAATCTTGTTCATTTAAAATTTAGGAGCCTTATATTGACTCGGCCTCGGATCAGGGGGAGAAACTGTCCTCCGTCAGCGGAAACCTGACGCTGAGGAACGTCCGATTCCGATACCCGGCCAGGGAGGAAGTACAGGTAAAAAAATTACAAACTAAAACATCTTACTGTAAAAATCGTATAGTACAAACACAGATATTGGGAATTCTCAGATTTAGCATAGTTATCTTGGGTCCCCAGCTATATTAATGTAACAAATTTTTTGTTAAGGATAAAACAAATTACAGATATAGCGAAGTAATTTCATAGGCCCCAGTGACTTTGTTATAACTGAGTTATACTGTACTATAATTTTACACATGGAAGTGATTCCTTTGAAAATAAGAATACAGTCACAAAAATCAAGAGTTAGAGTGACAAGAATCAAATATAAGAGAAAAATTGGACTTATACCTTTATTTCTGTACATTCCAAGAGTAATTTTGCATTAAGTTCATGACCTGAGTAAATTAACAGGTGTTAAAAGGTGTCAGCTTGGACATCAATCGTGGAGAAACTGTGGCCCTGGTGGGATCAAGTGGATGTGGCAAGAGTACCATCATACAGCTACTACAGAGGTTCTACGACCCGGAGGAAGGGGAGGTAAGTCTGTTATAGGGTGGAGACAGAAAAAGTTAATTGTGTTTTGAAGCACAATTGCTTCGTGCATTTTAGATGTCTTAATTACTAGCATAAAAATAACTTCTCTCAAGTGTTTTCTAAACCTTTTTTGTAAGCTTTCAAATTTTTATTTTGGTATATTTGAATGATTTATCTTTTGATAATTGAAATATATGTGTGTTGCTTAATTTGAAACAAATTAGAAATTTAATAAAGAACAATTTGCAACAAGCAGTGCATTAAGATTTCACTCTGAAACTGGAATGTCTTTTGACATAAGACTTTGTGAGCCATTTTATGATTTATCTAGACTTTCAATTTTTTTCTGTATTTGAAGTCAGTTTTGCAGAAGTTTAAGAAAGACGTCTGTTTCCTTAATTTTATTTCAAGTTTTGATACAAATTGGAAAAAGAATTAAACTGAATGTTTAAATCCATTATCCAGGTCGCTCTTGATGGCAAAAACATCCGAAGTCTGAATACAAAATGGCTGAGACAGCAGATAGGAGTGGTCAGCCAGGAACCTGTCTTGTTTGCCACAACCATCGCAGAAAACATCCGCTACGGCAAAGAAGGGATTTCCCAGCAAGAAATCGAGGCTGCCTCGAAAATGGCTAACGCCCACGACTTCATCATGAAACTTCCTAATGTAAGGGGAAAAAAAGTCATTGTGAATACATTGTGTTTCCGGGTTTGTTTTTACTTGCAATTTTAAAAATGAAAGTTTAAAGAAGCATTACATATTTTTTGTATAGAAATACGAGACGCTGGTAGGAGAGCGCGGGGCCCAGATGAGTGGTGGACAGAAACAGAGGATCGCTATTGCCCGGGCACTGGTCAGGGATCCCAAAATCCTACTGCTGGACGAGGCCACGTCAGCCCTGGACACAGAGAGCGAGTCAGTGGTACAGGAGGCCCTTGACAAGGTCAGAGGTCATAATATAGGACAGCTACGAAATACTTGTATTAGAATGTAATCTTGGAGATATAAGTTGAAGCCTGTGTCAGAAAAGTCTTTGTCTCAGAATTTTCAAAATTATTAAGTAGCATAATGTTTCATAATACTGGAAATCACTTTATATTCGTGAGAACTTTATTTTAGCATAATTACGTGAGACAGTGTGCTTGCGAAAATTTAATTCTCGTGTATAATAATATTCCTTAAGATTATATACAGGAATAAGCACAATTCGCAAAAATTTTGTCTCGCTTTTCAAAAGTCAATGACTATCTCGCCAAAATAAGGTGTCACGAAAATTTAGTGATCTACAGTATTGTCAGAGGTTAATGAAGCCACCCCTCTTCAAAAGCCACCAAAAGAGGCAATTTTTATGTTAAACAGTTTCAAAATGAATTATTGAACTATGTTAAAAGTGCAGTATTAAGATGTAAATTCTATGATTAGGCTAGAGCAGGAAGAACAACTGTAGTGGTCGCACACCGACTGTCCACCATCAAAACGGCTGATAAAATAGCGGGATTCCAGGAAGGGGTCATAGTGGAGAATGGAACACACGACGAACTGATGAAAAAAGGGGGCGTGTACTTCACACTGGTGACCAATCAGGTGAGGCCAATGGCTGTCAATCAAACTTCTCTTTGCTTTTGAATGATCTTTGAAAAAAAATTTCTATGATTGAGAAAGATTGAATTTTACCTGATTTTGAAATGTTGAATAAATGGAGGAAGAATTAAAGGATAAATTAGTTAATCTTGCCTTGGGTTTTCATTTTAGACTCGGGAAGTAGATGAAGAAGGTCAGTTAAATGTTTTTTTTTTAATTTTACTCGTTTACGTATTGCCTTTGTGTTTATATTTTTCATTAGTTTGTACCTGTATGGCTCATTGGGCTGCGCAACTGTTAGAGATCAAAAGATTGTCTTTGGTCACAACAATTTCAGTTCTTATTTCAGCCCAAGTATGATTTTTAGCTCTTCTGAGCCAAAGGCTCAAAGAGCTAATGCTATGGCCATTTGTGCGGTGTGCGTCGTGCGGTGTGCGGTGTGCGTTAACTTTTTAGAATATGGGCCATAACTCAAGAACCCCTTGGCCAATTATTGTCAAATTTGCCACAGAGTATCCTTGGCCCAAGGGCTACCATTAATACTAAAATTAGGGGTTGGACCCTAAAACAAGGGGAGATAATCACGAAAATAAAACCAAAAGTACTGGTTGCTAAAAAATCTTCTTCTCCAGAACCACCAGGCAGATTTTCACCAAACTTACATACAAGGGTAGGGATATGTTGAAGATTAAAAATTGTTCAAGGCATGACCCTGGGGCAAAGGGCGTGGTCTCAAGGTCACTTCAAAGTTGACCAAAATTTACACTTATTAAAAACGTTGATATTTTGCTTACTATTAAGACTAGGATCATCAAATCTTGTAAGTTGATGCATCTCAGGACTTGACATCATGTTAATACAAAAGTAGGTCACGGTGACCTACTTTTTAAATTTTACGGGCTTTTGTTTTCAAATTGATTTGGAGGCATATTTTGAACACTTTAAGGCGTATGATCATAAAACTTTATCAGTTGGTGCATCTTGGGTCCACAAACAACATCAACTTAAAAGTAGGTCATCGTGACCTACTTTTTTGAATTTTATGGCTAATCTTTTCTAAAAATTTAATCCCATTATTTCAGACACCGAGAGGTTTAGAATCACCAAATCTTGTAAGTTGATGCATCTAGAGGCCTTAAAACATATTTATCAAAAAGTAGGTCACTGTGACCTACTTTTTGAACTTTGCAGGCATTTGTTTTCAAATTGTTTTAAAGGCATATTTTGAATACTTTTAGACCTATGATCATCAAATTTTGTCAGTTGATGCATCTTTGGTCTTCAAAAAATGTCGACCAAAAAGTAGGTCACTATGACCTACTTTAGACATTTTATTGCTAGATTTAAGTATCTCGGGTACTAATTGGCTTAGAATCATTAAAATTTGTCAGTTGATGCATCTTGGGTTTTCGGAGACTAATGACCAAAAAGTAGGTCACAGTGACCTACTTTTGACATTTTATGGCTATATTTTAGTATTTCAGGTACTTATTGGCTTAGACTCATCAAACTTTGTTATGCGATGCATCTTGGGTTTTCGGGGCATGTCGACCAAAAAGTAGGTCACAGTGACCTATTTTTGACATTTTATGGCTAGTTTTATGTATCTCAGGTACTAATTGGTTTAGAATCATCAAATTTTGTCATTTGATGAATCTTAGGTTTTAGTAGCATGTTGACCAAAAAGTAGGTCACTGTGACCTACTTTCGACATTTTATGGCTAGATTTAAGTATCCCGGGTACCAATTGGCTTAGAATCATTAAAATTTGTCAGTTGATGCATCTTGGGTTTTTGGAGACTAACGACCTAAAAGTAGGTCACAGTGACGTACTTTTGACATTTTATGGCTATATTTTAGTATCTCAGGTACTTGTTGGCTTAGAATCAACAAACTTTGTCATTCGATGCATCTTGGGTTTTCGGGTTTTCGGAGAATGTCGACCAAAAAATAGGTCAAAAAGTAGGTCACAGTGACCTACTTTTGTCATTTTATGGCTATATTGAGGTATTTCGGGTACTTATTGGTTTAAAATCATCAAACTTTGTTATTGATGTATCTTGGGTTCTCGGAGAATGATGATCAAAATATAGGTCACTGTGACCTACTTGTGACATTTATGGCTATATTTAAGTATTCTAGGGTACTTATTGGCTTAGAATTGTCAAACTTTGTCAGTTTATGCACATTGGGTTTTCGAAGAATGTTGACCAATAAGTAGGTCACTGTGACCCACTTTTGAATATTTCAAGTACTTATTGGCTTAGAATCATCAATCTTTGTCAATTAATGCATCTTGTGTCCTCAGAAAATTTCAATCAAAAAGTAGGTCACCATGACCTACTTATAGTATTTTATAGTTAAATTTAAATATCTTCAGCCCCTAATAGCTAAGAATCATCAAACTTTGTCAGTTGATGCATCTTGGGTCTTAGTATAGGTTGTATAATTTATCAGAAGAGTTATTCAAGGCCCTTGGGCCTCTTGTTTTTTTTACAGTATATTGCTCAATTGAAATGAAGTTCTTCAAGATTGAAAAAAATTAATTAGAGTATAGATGCTTTGTATAAGTATATATATATATATATATACATATACTTAAGGCTGAAGACAATCTTGGTATAGCTAAATGCACCATATCTATACATTTAATGGTTGCATTGAAGAATGGTTGTAGTGAATTAGTTACAATATATTAATATTGTAGTCTTTTGGCACCATACATTTGTATAACACTTAAATGTAGAATGTATTTATGCATGCACAAGTCATCCAAAGTTTAAACATGAAAATATTAAGTGTTATTCTTAGCTACATGTAATTGTATTGAGGTATTTTTTAAAAGATAAATTGAGAAGTTTTTGTGTTTGAAATGTTTTTGATTGTCAGAGGGGATCAGTTACATCCTATTGATAAAGGAACAAAAAACATATTTTTTTAAAGTAGTGATGGGGGGGATTATTTGCTTTGGATGACATATTGCACTATATTTTACATTTTTTAATATCAAGTGTGCACGTTTTATTAATAGTTGTATTTGTATGTTATTAATGCCAGTCATTGGTGAAATGAAATATGTTTTAGACCAGAATAAAAAGACACAGGTATTCAGAAACCCTTACCTTTAACTGAAATTAAAGATTTTGTAAAATTATGACTGGTGTTTTTTGTGGTCTAAAACATATTTCACTGTATAGTTGATAAATAACCAGCCGGTTTAGTTTATTTAGTGTTCTTTGATATGCTAACTTTTCTATTTACTGTCGTCTCATTTCATGCTAACTAAAACACAGGAAGGTCACAAGATGAAGAAGGTATGTTTACTTCATAGATTTGTCGTATTTAACAAAAAAAACCTAATAAATTTGATCATTATTTAACAATTTAACAAAATTAAAGCATACTGCTTTGTTTAAATTGTCACTGTTGATAAATCTTTCCTGAATAAATATTTTGAAAAATAGCAGGGTATCGTCCAAGTGTCCTTGACCTTTATAAAGAGAATTAACGATGCATCAGTTTCTTAGCATCAGATGTGTAAATTCAGGATCATTTTCATTTTGTAAATTTTTATCTTTTTATTTTTTTTTAGTGAAAATTTTTACATTTCTAGGATAAAAAACGTCATTGCAAGTTTTGAACAGTACACAACTAATCATCATTCATAAGTTAAAGCTTTTCGAAATCATAAGACCTATCAATAAAATTGATATTTATCTATTTGCATGTTTGCATAAATGCATGCTGAAATTGCTTACTTTGTAAGGACATCATATATTCTAGAAGCAGAAATAAATGACTGTGTAAATATTTACTTTGTGCATTTTTAAACAATGAATAAACAAATCTAAGTCATATATTTCTGTGAAAGTTGTAAATTACCCTCCAAAAATTATCAAATATCACAGCTAGGATAAAGGTTGTTAAACTATTTTAGACCAAAGGGAGAAAACCCTCTACCGGTATATTTGTTTTGTTATATTTTTATAAAAAAAAAACCTTACACAAATCTTTAAAATGTATAAAAAATTCTATAGACTTTATCTATAATTGACACAAAGTATCTTACTTGCTTCAGAAGATAACATTCAGATAATTAGCATTATAAAAAAGCAATGAAGAACCACTAATTTCTCCTTGACCTTTCAGAGGAAATGCTGATTTCTAAATTTGCCAGTCCATCGGAGAAAGAGAAGAAGTCCCTGGATCGCCAGATTTCCTATCAGATTAAGAGTCCGCTCAGAAACCAGGTGTCCATTGATAAAGTCCCGGGGGTGGAGGAGGAGGAGAAAGGGGGAAAGAAAAAGGTGAGTAGAAGAAAGAACGGTAGAACAGGGAAAGTTTTTGCCCCCATTTTATTTTCGCCCCTTTTGCCAGGAAAGGAGAAAATGTTTGGCTGGACCGGGAATCGAACCCATGACCCCTGCATCACTAGCCACATGCTCTGCTGACTGAGCTACCTAGGCCAATGTCCACAGCTTGTTTTACATTATTGAATACTGCATTAATTGTCATTTTGTTACAGATATTTTAGGTTTATGCATCTCATTTAATATGTTTGAAATTGGATGTTTCTTATCTTTGGAATGCATTGTAATTCTGGTATTAAACTGTTACAACAAATATGCTTACTAGAATAAATTCATGCTTACGGCAAAGGAGTATTCATTTAATATAATTTAAAATATTTTATATGCTTGCTAAAAACAAATCAAAATTACTTGTTCAAGGCACTTTGCTATAAGCATTTGTTTTATATTGTGCTTTGCATAGCAAAAATAGAAATGAAGCTGGAAAGGACAGAAAACTACTTGAATATCAAAACATTCAAATTAAGATGATTGCGTTGTCTCAATTGTGACTGATATTATGAATTTCTTTTCAGAAGAAAGAGTCCGATGAGCCACCACCTGCTAGCATGGCCCAGATCTTGAGGATGAACGCTAAGGAATGGCCCTATATTCTGTTTGGTTGTCTGGCTGCCCTGCTTAATGGAGGTGTTCAACCCTCGTTTGCTGTCATTTTCTCTGAAATCTTAGGGGTAAGGTTTTTGAAGACATCAGCGAAAAAATATTTACAAAATATTTAATACTCTTTCCTTGTTCAGCGTAAATATTGTCCAATGATAGTGATTTAAAAAAAAAAAATGAAGCAGTTGCAAATCTATTGCTGAGATAAATTATCTAAATTTTTGTTTTTTCTCTATTCTAAGTTTTCAAGAGCACATGTAGTTATCTGTTAACTCAAATTGAGGCAATTTGCATATGCTTTGTATGGTTGTATGTATCAATAAATGAACCTGATATTCTGTAGGTATTTTCTGAGCCGGACCAAGAAAAACAGGAGAGAGAAGTAGAAATGTACGTTCTCATTCTCTGTGGAATTGGAGGTGTCAGTTTCTTCACCTTTCTCATTCAGGTACGTCATAATTTCTATAGAGGATTCAAATATTGCTACAATGTGTCAATTTTAAGAATTCCTTTCCTTAATGACATAATTATATATTTATATGTTATTTAAGGGCTACTGTTTTGGAGTGTCTGGGGAATCCCTTACGATGAGGCTACGACGTCTAGTGTTCAAAGCGATGCTGAGACAGGACATCTCCTGGTTTGACGACCATAAAAACACGACAGGTGCTCTCACCACACGACTGGCCACTGACGCCTCGCAGGTTCAAGGGGTAGGTGCAAGTCTTTTCATTCAGTACATGTGGGCAGGATGGATTGAAACTTACGATTATTTTGATTTATTCACCATTTAGGTTTATTGTAGCTTTATAGTTTCCTTTTGAAAAATCAAGGCTTCTTTATTTAAAAGTGTTGCAAGCAAGATTGCATCATATAATATTTTTAATTAAGTGGTGATAGATAAGTTATCAACGTACGTAGTAAGAATTAATGCTTCTTTTAGATCTCTGGAGCCAGACTTGGGAGTATTGTACAGAGTATAGCTAACCTGGGGACGGCCATCATCATCGCGTTTATCTACGGCTGGAAGCTGACCCTGGTCATAATGGCCTTCTTGCCATTCATCATGATTGCTGGGATGTTACAGATGAAGCTGCTACAAGGAGTGGCAGGTGAGGGAGTGTCTTCTCACTGTAGGGAATTATTTCCAGGAAAATGGCATAATTCAGGATTTTCGTAGAGAAAATTAAAATGAATGCGAGTAGAGAAAATTAAAATGAGTGTGAGTAGAGAAAATTAAAATGAGTGTGAGTAGAGAAAATTAAAATGAGTGTGAGTAGAGAAAATTAAAATGAGTGTGAAGATCAAATACAGTAAGATAGTCTTATAACGAAGTGCCAGGGACAGATGAGTTTGGTCCATTATACACAATTTTTGTTTATATCCATTTAGTTTACAATATAAATGTATGATTAAGTCAAATCACTTCACTCTTAGTATCAATTCAGTCTAAGCGTGTTCACATGTTCATCTATAAAATCTTAGTTCAGTTAGCTACATTAAAACTACATTAATTTCCATTTCTGTGTTTGAAATTATAATAATGCATCCATGTAAATCTATAATTGCACCTAGTCCTTTTAACAAAATACGTTTCATCCCTTTGATCACAGGACAAAACAAAGAAGCATTAGAGGAAGCAGGAAAAACTGCTACGGAATCGATTGAGAACATGCGTACCGTGGCTAGCCTGACCAAGGAGGAGAAGATGGTTCAGAATTACAAGGCCCTGCTCCAGGGGCCTTACAGCGCCTCACTGAGGAAGGCCCACCTGACCGCCATCGCCTTCTCCTTCGCCACTGGAATCCTGTTCTTTGCCTACGCGGCCTCCTTCTGGTTTGGGGCGTATCTGATACGACAGAATGAGATGGAGTACACTGATGTATTTAAGTGAGTCAGATGATACAAATCGAGGGAGAAATTAATATTTCTAAACCCCACCCCCCATTTTTTTCTAGTATTTTTTAGTCCAACTGAGGAAAAAGCTTAGTTTTCTGATTGTAAAAAATTTGTGATGTAATAAGCAAATCTGAGCATATCTCTAGAACCCCTCAGTCAATATTCTTTTGGATGTAAGCCTTAAACAAAGGGAGATCATTCTATGCAATCTAATATTCCTTTTTCTTTATAAACAGGGTGTTTAGTGCCATTGTGTTTGGTGCCATGGCCTTAGGACAAGCCAGTGCTTTTGCTCCTGATGCTTCTAAAGCCAAAGTCTCTGCTGCCCATATATTCCACATGCTGAAAATGGAACCCAAAATTGACCCTTACTCTGAGGAGGGCAAGAGAGATGTAAGTTTTAAGTGTTGTGTTAAACTTTCTGTTTTATGCTCTGTTCACACGGAGAGTTTAATTCGAATTAAATGTAAAGTTACTGCGAATTAGCTTCGCTTAGCGTTCACACGGAGAATTTAATGCGAATTAGTTTAATTAGAATTAGTTTACTGCACATTAAATTACTTCACATTAGCTCCGTGAGAACGCTAAGCGAAGCTAATTCGAATTAAATTTTGAGGCATGCGTAATGCCAAAATTAGGTCAAATGCTACATGTCCGTGGTTAGCTCGAAGTATTAGTGCTATTTTTGAGTTGAAAACTAAGGAAAATTGTGTTAATCACTAAAATGTGTGTAGAGACACTGTAACATTATGTCAAATGCATCTGCTCCTGCATAAGGTGACGTGATTTGCAAATGACATCATAATAGCCTTACTGACGCCTGGCCGTAGAAGTAGAATTTTAATTCACATTAGTTTACTTCGCATTAGCTGTCGTGTGAACGCAATTTAATTCGCATTATTTTGATTCGCATTAGTTTAGTTCGCATTAATTTACTGCGAATTAAACTCGTCGTGTGAACAGGGCATTAAATTACTTTATCATTTGTTCTCACTGTAAACAACAAGGTACTATTTGATGGTCTACAGTGTTAACAATGATTTTATTTCAAATTTCTTTATTTGTAGCTCACTGTTCACAGTAGGGTCCGATTTGAGGGTCTACATTTCCGCTATCCCACACGACCAGACGTGGAGGTGCTACAGGGTCTGACCCTAGAAGTTAACCCCGGGGAGACTGTGGCACTAGTGGGGGCCTCAGGGTGTGGCAAGAGTACCACAGTACAACTGATGGAACGATTCTACGACCCAGAGGAAGGGGTAGTGGTAAGTAGGTCAAGGCCATTCAACACTTCTCTCTCTTTAAAATTATGTTTCAGAAGGTCCATGCAAAATTTGCTCTTTTTTTGATAAAAAGTTAAATATCCATATTTAATAGGAAATATTTTGAATTTAAGGTATATTGTTTGTAGTTATACACAGAAAACTGAATCTTCATCAGATAGCTTTGAACATAATACATGTATATCAAGAGAAGGGCCTATTGTTTTAAATTAGTACAATTCTTGTTCTGTTCATGATTCAGCTTTAACAAGTTAAAAAAAAGGTGTTGTTCTACTTATATTTTGATTAACAAATCATGCTTTTTTTGTGTGGCAATTTTGCATTCTATCTAAACTTTAAACTCCAAAGTGTTGATGAAAACTTGAATGTTAACATAACACACAAAGTAATTTATATGTACATCTACTTTCACTTGTAAAAATAAGCTTTAAAGTATTTTACTTTTTGAAAGCCCTTAAGGTAAAGATCCATACCACGTAAAATAACGTTATGTGACGTTATTCTCGTTTGTGACGTTATTACGTCAAACGCGCCCGACGCTTATTCTATCAAAAATGCCTGACGTCGATTTCACTTATTGTAAAAAAAAAGGTACATTAATTTCCAAATAAAAGGCATAAATATACGATGTTCAGTTATTTTCCGGGATGCATGATCGAAGGAGAGTTTAAATTTAGATGATTCGTCAAACCGAAAGTACAACAAAGATGGCATGGAAGATTCATTGTCTCGAGTACAAGATAACTAAAAGACTTCGACAATCGGGTCGTTTTTTTGTCTCTGTAAGTTGAAGAAATACAGAGTAACAAATAAATGGTTCTCTTGTCGAAAGTCATTATCGTTTGCTTACATGTTTGTACATAGGCTTAGTACATAACCATTTTCGAACCACGTACGGCTCTGAAAGTATTCAGGTACCTAACTACAGTACCTGGCCATAAGTGAGTCATAATTTTATTTTTACACTATTAACTATATATTTCATTGAAAAACCTATTTTCATAAAAACTTGTTGTGAAGTCAATTTTAGATAGAATGTTCTATCGTTAAAATAATATTGTCCTACGGACCCGGTTTAACGATAGAATTCGTTCCGTGTATTCGTAATATAGCAGAAAGAGACACGGGCGATAACTCGCATAGTGCATTTACTAGGAACAATCTAGAGAGTTCCGAATGTAAACATGGAGGTAATTTGAATCGAGAGAAAAACGTTGAGAAAATTAATTGGATTTTCGTATTTATATGGATTATTTTTTGGGATAAAAGGCATAAGCAATCTCAAGAAGGTTTGTTTTGATTATTTTGGTAGTTATTCCCAGTGCAAATCATTTTATATTCTTCAAAATCGTTTCGGAGCGGATCCGCTCCGATTTGCTACATTGCAAGTATATGGGACGTATTCTAACTGTGGTGAGGGCCTGTACCGAGACACAGTTAGATTATTCTAACTAAGTCAATTTTAGCTCAATTTTCATGATTTTTTCACTGAAACATGCAGAATTATTCAAATTTTCTTATCTTAAATGATAAACAAAATGATACTTAAACTATTGAGAATAAATCATAAAATATTGTCATGACAAAATTTTCTAACCTCAAATTACTATGATTTCTTAACAAATTGAAGTCTAAAAATTTTTGTTTTGCACTTGACCTGTGATTTCATGGTAATGCATAAAGATAAAACTATTTTGAAATAATGTGAAGAAACTACAACAAATTCTGCATTTTATGGTGTTTTAGACATTAAAAAGAAACAATAAACGACACTGCAAGAATATTTTAGAAAAATGTGTTTCCTAATGAAATATATAGTGGAAAAATAAAATTATGACTCACTTATGGCCAAGTACTGTACTTTGCTTCAATATTCCAATTTTTATATGTCGTTTTTCTCTTCTCGATTGTTTGAATTAAAATATCGTCCCCTGGGGATTGACTCAGGATTTTGAAAAAAAATTATGGAAAACTTTTTTTTTTACAATGTATATATCATACATAAAACAGTTACTGCACAAATATTAATGCTCCAGACTGTTATTTGGTTTATCCTTGCACTGAAACATAAAATAATTATTGATAAAAAAAAAACCCGAATATTTCATTTAAGTAGGAAAGGACATTGATACATTGACAAAAAAATTCCTTAATACACATAATATGTGACATATATGCTGAAAATTTGGAAAAATTTGTTTTAAAGCTAGTGCACAATAATCTTTAGCTATCATTTGTAGTGCTTTGGGTATACAATGTAGTGTATTGCTGCACATGTCATTAGACTGACAGGTGTCCTGGGTTCGATTCTCTGGAAGTTGAAAAAAATACAGAGTAACAAATAAATGGTTCTCTTTTGACGAAAGTCATTATTGTTTGCTTATATACTTGTACATAGTACATAACCATTTTCGAACCTTTTGGGCCTCTTGTTATATGTTTGCTAGAGCCAATTTCCAAATTGATGATAAAATTACATATTTCTCATCTACGGTATATACAATATGTATAATAAATGAGAAAAACATACATCGAACAGACCAAGGGGTCTATATCAGATGGGGAATGGGGATATTTCTGTCTTCAAGCACCCGTGAATAGTACAGCAATAGATATCAGTCGCTAATAAGATAATGTGCAATTTTATGCATTACCATGATTACTGTAATGATAGTTAGACTTAAACCCACAAATAACAATATGACAGTAACAAAGAAGGGAATACATGTATAAGATGATAAGTAGGAATGCCTATGAGATCACAGAGGGTGATATAAAAAGGAATAAGGAAAAGGATAAAATTTCAATCCCAACATTTCACAAAATCAACTCTGTTAGTTAAGCCGAGTGCTTACAATGTTATAATTATACAATTAGGTTGTTCGTGCGTGGTTTAATCATGCATTAATCATTAAAAACAAAGATAACCAGTTTCAGTTTAGATTTTATGGATTTATGTCAAGATTGTAGCTTTTTATTTCAATGAAAAATTATTAATACAGTGTTTTTTTTTCAAAAACAAATCAATATTCCAACATACAGAATTTATTGCATAATTACCTTGACCCTTTGATCACAAAATCAATAAGGGTCTCCCTCGAGCCACAGAGAGTTGCTGTGTAAAATTTCAATGCAAAGGCTTCTTGAAAGTGTTACAGACAGACAGAAAGACACACGGACAGATGCACAGACCTAAATTTAGTATCCCCACTTTCAGTGAAAGGGGAGACAATTATATAAGTTTTTTTTTGTTGATGTTAAACTTGGTTTATCAAGATACTTGTTTAAAAAAAAAAATAGCATAACTTTCCCAGTGATTATTCAGTTCTTTCTTTTCCTACATAAATAGTTTTTGATATCATATTGAGCTTAATAATATTATACACCTACACATTTAATATCTATTTTAACATCAATATGCACTAAGCAACACAGTTCCAAAAAGCCAGATAATGTATTGGACCAGCATGCAAAACTTGTATCAAACCATTTTCTCCCAAATGAATGAAGAGTCCTTCCCAAACTTATGAGTTAGGACTTTGTGCTGTGTCATGTAGCATGATAAAAAGCTGGAGAAGAAAAAAATCTTTTTTTTTTTTAATTTCATTATTAGAATACAATTTTAAAGAAGTATAATTGAACTGCCTAAACTCCAATACAAGTCAAATTGAACCATCTTGGATGTCTTGATTAAATGTTTTTATTTTAGGCACAGAGCAACAGAAAAGAGTTTTTTTTTTAAACTAGACCAAGTTCATAATGCATGTATTATTCCTCAGGTACTTTTAATATACAAGTATACATACAAATTAAATATTCAGTACCTATAGTGATGTTCATCAGCTCAGACAATTTCAGGTTCGAGAATCTGTGTCAAAACTCATGGAACAAATGCTCACTGGATCCATATCAAAATATCACTTTAACATAGAACATTCTATTTACTCAGGGAGTTGTTGACTTTTAAAGCATCATACCAATTTTGCATAGATCAGTTTTTCCAAGGAGGGGTCCTGCCATCCAAGGTCACTTTTAGTAAAATTCACTGTTATCTTAGGACTATCAGTAAGGCGGGATATTCTTGATGTTATGTATTTACTATTTAGCCTCTAAAATTTACACAGCTTTCATTCATCGTTGAAATATATGTGGCCGGGATAGAAATTCAGGACATATAAGAAAGTAAGATTACCGGTAAGTTGTCTAATGATTGTCAACAATGATTAAAAGTACCTGATGTTATTAATTTTGTAACCAATGAAAATTTATTTGCCATTTGAAAGACACTAGTGCCGAGAATACTACGTCTTACTAAAAGTCCAAGGATGGCAGAGAATAATTGTACTGCTAGGTTAAGTATGTACATTTAATAATTCTGCAATGTCCATGGGAACACACACACTCACCACTAGATCCGCCATGAAAATTTCAATCAAAAAGCATCCTATAGAAATTATACTATAGAAACGTGAGAAAAAATATAAGTGCTGACAAAAATTATTGTGTAAGGGTGATTTTGACAGCTCGGTCAGAGTACATAAAACAACTATTTTCTTATTGTTTGACGTACTTAACCCTTTTAATTATGAACTCTTTCATATATTTATAAAACCTTATTGATTTTAAAAATATATAAATTACTTCACATTTTACCAATTAAATGACATAGCTTTAGTAATGATGCTCTCAATGCAATTCTAGTCATCAACTATGGAGCTTGAATTTATTAAACGAATTTGAGTTATGTACGGAAAACCTCGATCATTCAGTGCTAGAGTGTCCCTAGCTTAAGAAGGGGATCTCTGCCTTCCAAGGATATGATCGCCTGTAAGCACGGCGTTTTAAACAAACAAACATTACAAAGTGGAAACACTGAACACATTCATCTCCGCGTACATTAATTTGATCTATTTTATATGGTATATGAATAAAAACATGATAAACAACGTTGAACCTTCCTTGGACAGGTCCGAGCATTTCCTGAGATCAGAAACCAGACGTTAAAAAGATGTGGCAAACAAACCACTTATTTGTATCTATGAATAGCGAGAAATGTATTACATAGACACAAAAAGTAGTAAAACGTGCCACTTCTCTAAATTTTTAATCAACTAAATCGCATCCAAACTACCCATGTTGAAACTGAAAGTATTTTCTTCTTTCACTTCCGTCACAACGTAACAATGCGCATTAACGGTTTATAGAATATTCCGAAGATTGAACCCGATTACTATTATGCTTGTGAATCGTGAAAACGAATTTTTGGCCGTCTATGCATTAAATATTCAACTTATGATTTAAACCATACTTATTACTGTTCTATTATCGATAGTTTCAAATATTTAAAGCGATTTTTACACCCAAATCCTAAAAGTATAGATGTAAAAAAGATTTTTCAAATTATCATTTTTCAGCAAATTTGGTTTAAAAATGTGAAATTTTCTTGTTTGATGCCCGCTGCCCCACTTAATTTTTATGCCATATAAGGGAGAGAACATTGGAAAATAACGTGTTTATTTTAAAAAGAAATCTGTAGTCAGAATATCAAGCAACAATTTATTTTTACTAGTAATGAACTTTATAATTTTGAGCTAAATATGTTTAATTCGCCCTAGAAAGTAATATTAGGTGGATCAGCAGATTAAAAAAATAATTAAACATTTAAACAAGCATATTTTCTCTATGATTCATTTGTTAAAAAAATTCTTTTGTTTTTAATTTTAGAAAGCTAGAATAAATATCTTAATTTCCGCATTTCCGTCATTTCACGAGACAATGTCTATTTTTAGTAACAATCCTTTCAAAAGGAGGCCCGGTTGACCCCAAAATTTACACTGATCTGGAAAGGACAAATACTCAGTTAAGATTCTGAAAAGTTTCAACAAAATCTGTAGTTCCGTTATTTCTATAGGATGGTATGGATCTTTACCTTAAGACCGGTATTTTCAATAGGTTTTTTTATTTCATTTTTTAAAGCAAAGTGAATGTCATCACATGCCATATTTAATAAGCAAAATGTCTGTTACACTCACTTTTTTGTAGTATTTGGATGAAAATGATATCAAAGAGTTGAACGTCCAGTGGTTACGTCGTCAGATTGGAATCGTATCCCAGGAGCCCGTGCTGTTTGATTGCAGTATCGCAGAAAACATAGCGTACGGGGATAACTTCAGAGAGGTTAAGATGGCAGAGATCATCGAGGCCGCTAGAAAAGCCAACATACACAGCTTTATTGAATCCTTACCAAGTGTAAGTCTGTGTCAAGGAACAATGGTAGAAAATGTTCAGGTCTTGGAAGCATTAAGTTGAGCAAAATTTGGATACACCCCTTCATTAATTAGGAATGGTATATATTGCATGGTTGAAGTTATTAAAATCAGTCTTTATAAAAATCTAACATAGGTATGCATGTCAATTCATTTTAAATGTACAATTTAGTGACATGTATATGCTCAAGGAAAAAAAATTCATATCATGTATTATAGACAAGTTTAATAAGTAAGAGTTGTTAGTTATTGACATTGCTGATATAACAGGTCAGTTCTTAAAATATTGAAGAAAAAATAATCAATTTTGTGTAACTTGTTTTATTTTGCATCATGGGTAAATTATGTTAAAAAAAACTGACATTTTCTCTTTCCCACAGGGCTATGACACACTTTGTGGTGACAAAGGGACACAACTCTCAGGTGGACAGAAGCAGCGAGTGGCCATTGCCCGTGGACTGGTCAGAAATCCCAAGATCCTGCTGTTGGACGAGGCCACTTCTGCCCTCGATACAGAGAGTGAAAAGGTACATAGTTTATTTCTTAGTAAATTATGCATTTAGCAATGCTTTTTACATGTTACATGTTTGCCTGTTTAACATTTATTCAAAGAAACAGTTTGTTGTGCAGCGGACGTGTTGACAGGAATACAATCTTTTACCTACATATCAAGTGTTGCCACTGTGCGAAATTTTATTTTGTTTAGCCAGACATTAGAATTTGACATCACTGTGCTTGGCATAACTTGGATTCATCCATAACTGCACTATGAACAGTCGAGATATTTAGTGACAAAATATTGATTGAATGTTTAAAATGTGCCATTCTTGAAAAATTTTCTCGAATACATTCATATCATTAAATACATTAAAATTATTTTCAGATTGTCCAAGAAGCCCTTGACAAGGCACGAGAGGGAAGAACGTGTATCGTCATAGCTCACCGACTTTCTACGATCCAGAACGCGGACAAGATCTGTGTAATCAAACACGGGGAGGTCGTAGAACAGGGTCGCCACAGTGACCTAATGAGTAAACAAGGCATATACTACAGACTCGTAACCACAGCTCAATCAAGAGGCTGAATTCTGTGTTTGTATAGGTTTCGTAATTTATGACTATATTTTTAAAAAAATGCTATTCACAAATACGACTGACCGGTGCAACTTATAAAGGTCCCAGTCTATGATCTGCTTGTTTCCGTTGTATGTTATACGTGTAGTATTAATGTGCCTGGAAGTATTCACTAAAATGACAAAACTTGTATACATGTGTGAGTGATACCAGTATAAGATATAATGCTGTTTCATGCTTCACTATGACATGTGTAGTACATTGAGAAGACTTTTATTTTTAGCAATGATGTAACACATTTCATGAAACAGACCAAAGAGAAATCTCAGGATTTTCATTGTTTGTCTAAGTGAATTGTTTCACGTCAAATATTTTTAAAGATTTTGTTCATATAGATAAGGCTAATAATATTATGAAGGATTCATAAATTAGAACTACACAAACAGTAACATGCACAAATATTTTGCATTTTGAACACTTGTATACATCTTTTTGTAAGGATATTTAAATTAGAAAATGTATATACATATATGTGTCCTCAAATATTTACAAAATACATAGATGTGTACTTTGTTCAGGAGTGCACATTTTTCATGCATTTTTATCTATATTTTATTCATTACTGACTATTTATTAACAACACATGACGTGAGCAGCCAAAAACTGTGTGTGTTTTTAATCTGTTGATACAAGCTGGTCAGGCTTTGGTATGTACTTGTAAGGTGCGATTTACTTTTGCATCAGGATTCTCATATCTACTGAATCTCAACGTTAGATTTAAGAGAACAAAGATATATATTTATGCCAGGAATCTTGAAGAAATCAAAAGAGCTTACTTAAGTCTGTTAACTTCTAATCATTATGCTGTGATTGACATATCATTTTTACCAGGATGTAGTGTGTATTATTATTGTATTTTATATACTGTATATCTGTTTTTCCTTTATTAATCATATGGGCCCAATGCAGAATGATTCATCAAATGAAAGCGGATCAAGTTAAATGCCAATGGACAGACTTTACACAATGGTCATAGTGCAGGCAATGATTCTCCTTGGTTATGTTGAATAAAAAAACATAAACTCAGTGAAAACTATTGTTTTAATTGCTGTATATTATGTTTATTTTTTTCAACGTGCACAAGTGATTATAACTGTGTACACATTCAAAAATAATGTAGCGGTGAAAATTCTTTAAAGATTACATAGAAATAGTGTTTACATAGAATTATGACCTTGTGAGGTAAAATGTATGTTTACAGTGTAATTGATATATTTCCAAGTCTTCAAATTATTTCTGCCAAATGCTTCAATGAAAAATGTGAAAACGAAAAATCATTTAAAGAAAGAATCTTCTTGGCAAACATAATTCATAACTTCAATAACTACAATTATCATTTTAGTAATATATATAGATATTTTAAAATATCTAAGTAATAAAGCGTGGTGCTGATACAAATTATTTTAAAAATGATGTCCAGAAAGTTTGTACACATAATAGTTGTATTATAAATGAATGTGTAAAGGAAAATGATTGATTTTTTCTCTGATGTTATTTGTAATCTTAATGGTCCTCAGACCTTTGAAGTTATTCATTGTTTTACTTTGAGGTCAATTAGAGGACAATGATTCATTTATAGAATACCAGACACATGTTAATGTCATATGTAGGCTATAATTTTAAGGGTGTTCATAACATGTAACATGTGGCTTTCCAATAAGATATTATATCTATATCCATAATCAAAATTAATCTGAGCAGAAGTTGAGGTGATGCCCTTGTACAGCTATAGAGCATTGGTATTACCCGGTTTTACAGTTCACACCAGCTATAGAGCATTGGTATTACCCGGTTTTACAGTTCACACCAGCTATAGAGCATTGGTGTTACCCGGTTTTACAGTTCACACCAGCTATAGAGCATTGGTATTACCCGGTTTTACAGTTCACACCAGCTATAGAGCATTGGTATTACCCGGTTTTACAGTTCACACCAGCTATAGAGCATTGGTATTACCCGGTTTTACAGTTCACACCAGCTATAGAGCATTTATTACCCGGTTTTACAGTTCACACCAATTGATTATAATTGTCTCCAAGTTGATGCTTGATTTTCTTAGCATTTTTACCGGCCGCCAGGAGGCGGTCGGTTATATGATATGAAAGTTTGAAGTCGCTGTGCGTTTCTGCGGAGTTAAAACAATTCAAATAAAAAATATTTAAGATTAATAGAATAGTATATTTAAAAAAGCGTCTAAATGTTTTACAAGAACGCACAATAAACATAACATTAAAATTTTTTATAAAGAATGGGGTAAATTTTTCATCCAATCCTGATTGAGAAACTTTGACATGTTTGAGGTGCGGAGAAAATTAGGACATGTGTTGGGCATAGTCTAAAGCAAAGACCGCGTTAGCTATATTGCACAATTTTACTTTCTCTATTTAAACAGGATTTGTTGTACGTATTTATTTTAAAATGACATGTACACATGTACATATAAACATTCTCAAAAATATGGTTAAATGTTAATTCATCAAAAGACCTAGCAGGTTACAGAATATCACAAGATTTTGCCCTAGCAGACGAGGATAATGCGCGTTTTACAATGTGCAAGAATTTTCTAAAGCAAAGAGAAGAAATGTCGTGGCGGATCTAGAGGGAGTTTAGTTTTTTCCTCTAAGAGAGAGCTAATCCCACATATTTGTTGCAGTTTTTATTAAATTAAAACTACACTGCATATCTAGTTGTAGATTACATTAAACTTTAGTTTAAAACTTTTAATGTAAATGCCTCTTAATTATACAGGCCCAAGGTTTGTTGAAGAGGACATGGGGTATTTTGCTTATATATACATGTAATACTGAACATATATAATTGAAAATCATGCAATGTCTTGCACAAGTTTAATGTCACGAGGATTTATATTAACAGATAAATATAAGATATTTTAAAACAGATCACCATTTCAGTCTTTAGTTGCTTCATAAAAGGAACAATTAATATTGGTTTGCGGCCGATTTTTGACTGAATATATGTTTCTTGTTGTTATTGTTTACAAGTGGGTGAGCATGTACACTGATGCTTATTTTTCTTTTCTTTATTTTTAAAGAATTTTAAACATTATTCACAGCAGAAGTATTCAACTGTTAAGTTTATACATGTGTACAAAATGATGTAGGTTTACAATGTATAAAAAAGTAATTACTGTAAACATGTTACATTTTGGCTGTGTGGTTTTTTTTAGTGCTTTTAGCAACTCCCTCTTATTGAATTGCACCACTAAACTACTGCACAATAAGAAAGCCACTAAAGCAAAGAAATGCCTTGTGTTTGCTTTATACTGCACAGTCTAAATATAAAACATTTGCAGTATATCATTCTTCTTATAGTTCTTACAAAGTTATGTGTGTGCATCATATTATATTTTGAATCATTTGAAGTGCTTTCAAAAGTATGTTTTATCTTTTTTAGTACATTTATCTGTGTTAAATTGACATATCTTAGCCGGTTTCTTCTACCTCGGAAGCTTTACACTGAACTGTCAATTTCGGGTGTTTATCTAGATAAACTCTCCAACATATACACGTATAATGATTAAAGAATTGTGTTAGTAGAAGTCCCTTTGATCTTTATTTTATTTCGAATAAAAATTAAAAAAAAAAAAAAATTGTTTTTTTGAGCTACATGTAAACTGGGACAGAGGAACTTGTCTTAGGCTTTTTTTCAAAATT